GCCGCCGGGCATCGGAAGCGCAGTGCGTGGTCCGGACTTAAGCCGTGGTCCGGACTTAAGCCGTGGTCCGGACTTAAGCCGTGGTCCGGACTTGAGCCGTGGTCCGGACTTAAGCCGTGGTCCGGACTTAAGCCGTGGTCCGGACTTGAGCCGTGGTCCGGACTTAAGCCGTGGTCCGGACTTAAGCCGTGGTCCGGACTTGAGCCGTGGTCCGGACTTAAGCCGTGTTTCGGAGAACCTCAAAGCCAAGAGGGCTAGGTTTATGGAAGGAAAAATCGTCCCTTTGCATGATGCTTAGAGCCGGCGATGTGTAATGTGGAAGTCAATCAAGATGCCTCTAGTGAAAGTAAGCCCAAATATTTAAATTGACGCTGCTGTGTATCATTTCACAAAGCCTAAATACCATGAGCTACCATTCGGTTCAGGAAAAACTCGCAGTTACCGTCCATTTATCGGTCCCCGGAATGTGGCGACGTTCTTCGGGCATCTGGCTCTGTGTCGTTCGATGCATGTGCGTGTTGGAGATAGAAAAATGAGGGAGGAAGAGAGAGGGAGAGAGAGCGACAGAGAGAGAGAGAGGGGGGAGAGAGAAAGAGAGAGGGGGAGGAGCAGTCTCCCGGCTCGGGTTGTATTATGCTAGGCTAGTGATACCGCCGGTCAGTGTATCACGTGTGAGAATTGCCCCCGCTGTCGGCTGCAATAAATCTGGACTAAATACCACCAGCATCGGTCGGCGCCGCCAATTTATGACAGGGCGCTCCCGACGGCCCCAATGGCCCGGCAGAGCGGGGTGTGGGCAGAGCGGAGCGGGAGGGCTGAGCCGGAGATGGGTAGACAGAGCGGGAGATGGGCCGCCAAACACGAGCAGGAAGACGGTAGCACAGGTGCGTATAGAAAAGAGGTGGCGGTGCCGACGGAGAATGCATACAAAGTAAGAGCGTGCTGTTGTCCAAATGAACAGAGAGGGAGCCGTGATCGGTGTAGGAGATAGTTGTAGTGACGGATTGACGCCAGCGCAGTAAAAGACTCGTGAGGGATCAGAAAATATAGTGGGCCATGAGAAGTACAGAGTGTCAGGTCAGCATCATGCAATCGTTCTTGCGGCATGCATCGATACAATATCTCAACAGTTGCTGGATGGCATTCTAAATATTGCAGCGTGCACTGTCCGCTCACGCTGCCTGCTGCGTCCGATAGACACGTCGTGACAGTCTACCAGGCTGAGCCGGGGAATGGCATCCGAATCGCGACGTGCCAAACTCTATGGCCCCTCGCCCCTGCATTCCAATCGTCGCGAAATTGACACATTCAGCATAGTTGAGACTGGAATTGGACGAAATTTACATTCGCCAGGCTGGAAAACAATAGCGAAGTCAAATAACCCGGAATTAATAGCGTAAAATTGAGACGGCCAGAGGGGTGAGGCGATGGAGCCCATCCCGCTGATGAATTCTCCGCTATCTCGCTCGATTCACCGCCCGGCGCCGGCAGATCGGGCTCCGGGGCGGCGGCGCCCGTCTGCCGACCCCCGCCGGCGCCCCACGCTGCGCCAGCGAGAGCGGAAGCGGCAGCAGCAGCGGCAGCTTCGGGGCGGGCGACGGGCGGCGTTGTTTACCTGGCAGCGGAGGTGCGCGCACGCTCGTGCGTCGCGACAGAGGCAACAGACGGCGTCCGCAGAGGTCACCAGGTGGCCGCCGGGCCTCCCGCCGCCGCCGCCCGGTTTTTCGGCGGGACCACCCGGCCCGGGCCACGCGTCCCGGCAGTCGCGCGCCCATTGTAATGCACACTGCACGCGGAAATGGCGCAATTATCTCGATGTTCTTTATGCCGAATAATTCGCAGTGCAGACCGCAAGAGGCCGCGCTATCAATTAGAGCCGTCTGAAAGCGGTCACCGCGCCGGCAGCGGCCGCGGCCGTCAGACGCATGTCGCCGGTATTAATCTATTCCATTCGGCGGGCCGGTGCGAATTAATCTTGGCGGCGCGGCTGGCAGTTTTTGCGTGTGACCGAGCCAGTTGTTGACGCCCACTGAATGAGAACACGACCGGAGCCTGCGGCGGTGGCGTGGCGGGCGGACACGAGCGCACTGCGCCGCTATCTGCGGCGCTCACGACACACCGCGCCACTATCGAGTCCGCTTCGCCGCCGCGTGAGGGTCGCACCCGGCCTATCGAGGCGGGTCACAGCGCGCGTTACAGCGCCGTCACAGCCGTCACAGCGCCGTCAGGCGGGCACGGCGGCCCGCCGCGGCCGGCCCGCTGGCGGAGGGCCGTCCAGCCCGCCGGCCGCCGAGCCGCCGGCCGCTGCTGGGAGGTCCCGCCGCCGCCCCGCTGCCGCCGCTACCGTGGTGGACCACCGGGCGGCGCGGTCGGCGCGCGCCGCCGGCCCATGTCGACGCCGGCGTTTTTGTCGGCCCGTGCATGGGCGGTCGACCCGTCACCGCTGGCAGGGGCGGCGCCAGCACCGCGGCCCCCGCCGGCGCGCGCCAGCCGATTTATGGACGCGCTGAAACCGCGCGAAGGGGCGTCGAATCGCCTCCGCGCCCGCGCGCGCATAAATCATTGCGTCAGAGGGCGCGGCGATTGCCGATCTGGGGTTGAGCTGCGCGGCTCCGGCCGGCGGCCGGGAACCGCACACCAGCCGTGCTATTGGGAGCCGTTGCCACGGCCGCGGTGTGACAATGTTGGATGTCTGGCCGACCACACGTGCGGCGGAAGCTGGCGCGGGCGGCGTAACGCGCATCACCCGGCCCTGCGCCAGGGCGACGCACTCCAGCCAGCGTCTCCGGCCGCGTGCCGTCCGGCCCTGTCCGGCCCTGTCCTGCCCTAGCCTGTCCTGCCCAGTCCTCTCCTGTCCGGCGCCGGACGTAATAAAGACGCGGGTCGGCAACCTCCGTCGGCGCTCCTATCTGATGGGCGCCGGCAATTAATAAACGGTGGTCGGCGGATCGGCGGTATTACCGGCCTGCGATCGGCCGCCGCCGCCACCGCCGCCGGGTCGGCCCGCCCCAGGCTGCCGGAGCATGAACGGCTCGTGCCTGGCCGGCGGGCGCGGGCTGCGCTGTCCGACTAGGGTTCCTGCAGACTCCCGCCGACCAGGCCACAGGCCCGGTCTGGCCTCTCGCAGGCCGGGTCTGGCCTCTCGCGGACCTCGTCTGGTGTGGGCCACGTCTGTCACGTGACCTGTGGTGGTCACAGGTCGTGCCTGGCTAGGGGAGGTGCTCCACAGGACCGTCCCTGCAGTGACCGCCGGCTGCTGACTGGCCATATCGCGTACTCCCTGGCCGTACCGGACGGCAGGCCACGTCCGGCTATGGACCGCGCCCGCCCGCGCCTCTTCCGTGGCCAGAGCGAGCCATTGACGCGGCGCGTGGTATGCGAGCGCGCGCCTTTCAAGTGCGCCATGTTACGACAGCTGCCAGCTCAGATAGCGGCCCGGGGCGCGATCGACGGGCGCGCGACACGCTACCATCGACCCGGCGGCGCCGCCTCCGCCCCCGGCGGCGGCGGCGGCGGCGGTGGGCGGTGCGCCGCCGCCGCCGCCGCTGCCGCCCGGGTGGTGGCCCGTTTATCACGGCTTGACGCGGCTAATAGAGCCCGGCCGCCGGTGTTGCACGATGGGTTCATTAATACCCGCGGCGGCGGCGGCGGCGGCGGCGGCGGCGGTCCGTCTCTCAGCTGGCCGGCCGCCGGCCGCGCCGAACCCCACACATCCGGCGCGGCGGCGGCGGCAGCGGCGGCGGAGGCGGTCCGTCTCTCAGCTGGCCGGCCGCCGCCGCGCCGAACCCCGCACATCCGGCCGCGACGCCCCCCGCCGGCGCGGCCGGGCGGGCGGCGGCCACCGCCACAACGCGGTGACGGGTCAGACGTCAAGCAGCGTGAGAACCGGCCGTCAGACGTTACCGGCCCCCGATCGGACACGGCTGCGAGTCGGCGCCGGCGGCCGGACCCGAGCGGACCCGGCCGCACCCGGCTGGACCAGGCCGCGGCCGGCTGGACCATGCCGGGGCCGGCCGGACCGCTGTTACTCGGGACGTGCGGCTGTAAAAACACGCGCACGCCGTGTGTAGCGTGCCGCACACGGACGGGCCACACAATGCAGCGGCTGGGTTACAAAACATCTTTTGTAAGCCCGAAAATATTCCATTTCACAGAAGATAGGATTAAGATGTCACGGGCTCGCGCCGGCAGGCACTGTGCCGCCCTGGCGGAGAGGTTTTACGGAGGCCAGCTTATGTCGTGTAACGAACTGTTTTTCTACGGATTGAGTCGTTCCATGACAGCAATAGTGTCACATTATGGCCTTTGATTCGCCGAACACGTTAGGGGACTGAGCTATTTGCCTCCAGAGTTGTCTCATGACTATCGGAGGGACGTTCCAGACCGCTGTCCGCGTCCTTGGGTCTTGTCTCCATAGGCCGTTAAAGACCCGATCCCGCCTTCTCGAGGACGCTATGGCTTCACGAATCCGAATTTCACGGGGCATGCGGCGCTGGGATGTTCCAGCTCAGATGGGGGATGACCCGTGCCGGACCCGGACCGACCCGGACCGCCGGTGACCCGGACCCGGACCGCCGGTGACCCGGACCCGGACCACCGCTGACCCGGACCCGGACCGCCGGTGACCCGGACCCGGACCACCGCTGACCCGGACCCGGACCACCGCTGACCCGGACCCGGACCGCCGCTGACTCGGACCCGGACCGCCGCTGACCCGGACCCGGACCGCCGCTGACCCGGACCCGGACCGCCGCTGACCCGGAACCGGACCGACCCGGACCGCCGCTGACCCGGACCCGGACCGCCGTTGACCCGAGCAGTCTTCAGATGACTGCCACTGACTCGCCTCGTGTTCGAATAGCCGCCACCTACCCCGTCTTCAAAAGCCCTGCTGACTCTCCCCGTCTTCAGCCGGCCCCGCTGATCCGCCCTGTCTTCTGCCGGGCCCACTGACCCGCTCTGTCTTCTGCCGGGCCCACTGACCCAAACCGTCCCTGCAGGGCCCCGGTCGCGGCGCACCAAGAAGCCCAAGTCGAGTGAGGAGAAGCGGCCGCGCACCGCCTTCACCTCCGAGCAGCTGGACCTGCTGAAGCGCGAGTTCGACGAGAACCGCTACCTCTCGGAGAAGCGGCGCCAGGACCTGGCGCGCCAGCTCGGCCTCAACGAGTCGCAGATCAAGATCTGGTTCCAGAACAAGCGCGCCAAGATCAAGAAGAGCTCTGGCCAGAAACCGGTGCTGGCCCGGCGCCTCATGGCCCAGGGTCTGTATAACCACGCCACCATTGCCGTCGAGGAAGAAGAGGAAATTCTGAAAATGTGCAAATCTAGTTTATAAACAACGTAAGTACTCACTGGGAATTGGTCTCAGCGGGTCGGGACAATTTTATTTTATTTTCGGCAGGACACTGACTCTGAATTTCCTCCGAAGCCCTAGCGTCATTGCCGCTGGCTGGGTCATCTACCGTATGATGTCGCGACTGAACTGAGTCGTAATCTGGCTCAAAAGTCGTGGCTGCATTTTTTACTTCTTTTGACTAGTGTGGTTGGCGGTGCATCTGGTAATAGCTCGTCCGTCTCGCATTGCAGTCAGGGCCCATGCCGGCACTGCTCATGCATGAGCTCGCCCGAGTCCGTCATTAACGCTCGCCATCCCGTCAATTTATGCGCAGTCTAAACGTCAGCAATCGTCCCCGCCTTCCCGCCGCTCCGCCTACAACGAGCCGTTTCCGCTGTTACAGGCTGTGGGCAAAGCGTTCTGGGCTGGCAGCCGACAAACCAAAGACGCCCCTATCTGTGATACAGCCGTGTGCTGGCGCCCGGGCGCCGACGAACCGCTCCCGAGGGGGCGCCGCGCCTCGGGCGCCCCAGGCGCCCCGCGGCGCGCATCACTGCCCCGCGGCCGCACCTGCGCCCGAGCGGCGACCACCGCCGGCCTCTGGTGCCATGGGGCACGCTGGAGCTGAGCCGGGGCGACAGGTCTCCGACCGGAGCCGCCCTGGAGCTGAGCCGGAGCGGCAGGTCTCCAGCCGGAGTCGCCCCGGAGCTGAGCCGGAGCGGCAGGTCTCCGGCCGGAGGTGAGCGGGAGCGGCAGGTCCCCGGCCGGAGCCGCCCCGGAGCCGCCTGCCGTCGACGGCGCTGTCGTGAAGAGGAGGGGAAGGGCTGCGACGCTCCGGCGGTCGCCCCGCGGGGCAGATCTCAGCCCCGGCCCCGGCCCGGCCACTCGCCGCCGCCGCCGCCGGCGCCGAGCTCTCGGCCTCCGCGGCAGCGTCACCCCCAGCCGTCTGCCCCGCTGCTGTACAGTGTTGTGTGTATTTATTGCGGTCGGCCCGGTCGGCGTCGGGGGACCCGGCCCGCCCACGCTGGCCGATTAGAGCGGAGACTGTGTCAGTTGACCCGCCCCGGTGGCGGCTGTTTGCGCTCGACCCGCGCTGCCCATCTTCCACTCGCCCTTCCTCTATTGCCTTCATGATCGTTGCCTCTGTTGTGCTTATTCAATCCTCGCTCTTTTCCTCGTCTTTCTTTGACTTGCCTTTTGTCTCGCAGGTTCAGCGAATTTGGGCCGCGTTTCTCGGTCGCTCCTACCTTTACCCCCTGTCTATCTCATCTTGTACATGTGTTCAAACCACGTTCATTGACTGTTCGCTGTTGATTTGGCTCCTTGGCTCCCAGACCGCCCCTTCGCCGGAGTAAGTGTTCCTAAGGTTCATCTGCACTCGTGTAGCGATAGTCAGTTGCGCTGGGCTACCCCCACGCTTTCAGAGCAGAGCAGCGACGTAGAGCGCCCAACGTTTGCATTGTACAAGAAGCCCGCCTCGTGATATATGATGCCAGAATGATTATGAGAAACACAGCTATCGTTTGTGTTGACGTTAGAACCTTTGATGTGTGTACATGTCGTGTGTTCGTTTAATATATCATGTGTCGTAAGATCGCGTCTCGCTCGTCGTCTGCAAGCTCACGTCGGGCCGCATTATGACGGCCATACTGAATGACAGACGCAAGCACCGTGATCTGCAACTCACTTCCACACCGGCGTGCTGCCACGCATCGGCTCACGCGTAGCTCCCACGCCGTGCAGGGGCACAGGGATGATGCGAACAACAAGAGGCCGACGTCGCGTGTTGATCACGGCTACAGCCGCCCTGCGATCAGCTTACATATGTCCGACACGCGCATTCCCGCCAATCATCTGCCGTCACAACACTGGCATTCCATACCGCTGGCGTGTTGCACGGCTGGTAAACAGGCTGCTGCGCCGCTGCAGCAGGACGTCTGCTGCGCCGCTGCGCCGCTGCGCCACTGCTCGGCGCAGCAAGGAGCGCAGACGAACAGCAGGTAGAGGAGGTGACCTGGCAGGGCGGGGGGACCTGGGAAGGACCTTGGGCGCAGGGAGAGGGGCAGGGGAGGCGGGGATAATTGGGTGCTGGTGGTATGATATCTAGAAGGTGTTGTAGACAACTCGACCTGGTTGGCAGGCTACGTGGAAGGATGAGTCAGCGATGAATGTCTTAGAACCATTAAAACTATTTGCCGGTGTCAAATATACATTGCATGATCTGAGTAGCTTCCTCCTCCGTTTTGGGGTGCTTGGGTTCCACCACCAACTGTGAGAAGAAAGTAAACAAAGTCTGGAAGGGTTTGCTGATACATTTTGAGCAAATATTGTGTCATTTTTCTCTGCTCAGCTCTCCCCCCTCCCTGACTCATTTTGCAAAACTGAAGTCCTGCAAACCCTGCACCCTGCATTGTTTGCAGGACTTTTTTAACTTTCACCGGGGTAACGAGACCGGCTACCCGGTAGGGGAGGAGCAAATGGGTGAATCTGACCGCTCTTGATATGTGAAGCCTGTTGCTGTTAAGATAATATTCCGGTTTCATAAGTAAACAAAGCGTTTCTCTTGGCCCACAGTTGAATCTACTCGACTCATCCGTGCCACCCGAGAAACAGCTCACCCGAACTCTTGAATATGTTCCTTCGCCTCGGCATCAATCCCACTAGGAATGCGAAGTTTCACGATCGCAAGGTTTTCCGGCGACTGGGGAAGGCCTTTGCCTTCCCATTCATCATGTCGAAGTACGGTCCGGTGTTTTGGCAAACGTGTCGCGATATTTCAATGTACCGAGACAGCAGCCAGCGCCATGCGTGTCCTCGGAGGCTGCGCGGGCGGCTCAGCCTCTGTGGAGCGCACCAAGGAGGTCAGACAGGAAGGAGGAATGTCGCGCGTACCAGGGAGATCACGCAGGGGGGAGCGCTGGCTATCGCTGACGCTGGCCTGAGAGGGTCTCTCCGCCGGCTCGGCCCCGTCGGCGGGGTACCGGGAAACGCGGCCAGTGCGCTGAGCCCAGCTCTAGCGAGCCGGTCCCACCCGCCGCCGCCGCCGCCGCCGCCGCCGCCGCCGCGCCGCTAACGCCGCAATTACACCGGCTCAGCTGATTGTGTGCAAATGGGCGCGAAGTGCAGGCGTCGTGTGCGGTCGTATGTCGTGTCGGCCGCTACGTGTACGACAGACGGGCCGACACGACGGCCGCGGCCGGCCGCGCCGCGCGCCCGGCCTAATCCGTCAGAGGCCGGCCAGCGGCGCGACACCGGCCGGCTCGCGAGGAGCACCGCAGCACCGACTGACCCTGCTCGGAGCACAGCCGCTCCCGCCGACCTCACTGTATTGCATGCAGTAGCACATCTACATATACGTGCCTATCCATGTGCGAATGGCGATGAAATGATAACTGTGGCGTCTTGAAACAAGGATGGGGAAAGGCCGGGGGCTGGAATGTAAGTGTGCAAGGCAGCTAATGGAGCGTAAGGGATATTAATGAACTTGCTGGGCATGGCTCTGCATTCGGAGTAGAGACGGACAGAGCCCAACGAATTCAGCATGGCGACTATGACGCCCTCTGGACGCCGTGCATCCTAAATGCGTTCCGCTCGTCCATGCCAACTGGGGCGACATGTCCTCTCCGGCCGCTGGCAGCAACGGCGCACCACGTGCCGACCACCGCGATGGCCACGGCCATGGAGGCTTCAGTACGCGTTTGCTATGGGCGGGGGATGAGGGAGAGAGACAGGGCGAACCCCCGACTTTGGTAAAATTTAGCATTAAACCCATGACGCCGCATGAAAATGGGATGAGAAGCGACTTCAAAAAGAACTTGCCCCCTCCCCCTTGCAGCCATGAGCGGGTCCCACCTCCCCCGGCATCGGCTGCTGCTGCAGATGGGCAGCAGCTGTAGCTGGCTATCGGCACTGCCTGACTCGGCTAAAAGAACAAGTGCAGCGTAGAAAGGCGAATGGGTGCATGGGCACAATGGGACTCCCGTGGCATGCTAATTTGGAACTCTGCTGCAATCGTGCAACATTTGGGCCTGAAAGACGCATATGGCTGGTTGATGACTCCTCCAAGCCTTTAAGGAGATGTCTCAGAATGAATTCAACGATGTGTCGCAGCAAACGCTTAACGGCTGGCAGCGCAGCTCGCACGTCACCTCATTATAATCGTTGCTGCATGCACAAACATCTCGACACACCGAAGCGCGACCTAATAGGCGAACATTGTGAGCCCACCAGTAGATTTCGAAACGTAACGGAGTCGCTCCACGACATCTCACGAGCAGCTGGAGGCACACGAATGCCATACGCGCCCGCGTCGGCCGTCGGCCATCAAGGGTGATCACGTGGCCACGGCAATTTGGAGTCGTTGGCCGGGCCGTCCGGGGCCGGCCGGCTGATGTGATGTTATCATGCAGCGGCGCTGTGAGGCGACCGGCGCTGGGCCAGCCGTTTTTGCCCCTGGAACTGCGCTGGTGATGACGGACTTGGAATTTGATGGCGTCTGGGAGGCCTTCAGGTGGATTCTTTCGCCTTTGGCGTGTTTTGAACGGATGCAGAACGGATACGGCTGCCGCGGTAAGTCGGTGTATGTATGGCGGTTACCACCTGGTTCCAAATCGGTATACCTTTATGGCTCGTGATGACTTTCTGAGTGGTGTGATGAAGCTATCGTTTGGTCGAGTGATGAAGTGTGATATGATGATGTGATGTGATGATGTGATGTGATGAAGCTATTGTTTTAATATGGCGATGGGCTCGGTTTCCTTCCCATATTAGGCATGGATGCCAGAGCAGTATACCTTTATGGCTCGTGATGACTTTCCGAGTGGTGTGATGAAGCTATTGTTTTAATATGGCGATGGGCTCGGCTTCCTTCCCATATTAGGCATGGATGCCAGAGCCTGCTCAAGGTAAGGTCGAGCAGTCAGCATAGAAATTAAAGAACAGAGACCAGTGACCGCCGCTGGAAGTGCAGCAAGGCAATGACCGAAGGCGGCCGCATCACTGGGAAAGGATAGGGGCTCCCAGTCCGGGTGACAGGGCTCCCAGTCCTGGCGAGAGGGCTCCCAACACTGGAGATAATGACTCCCGGTTCCGATGAGAGGACTCCCAGTCCCGGCGGGAGGGCTCCCAGTCCTGTTGAGAGGGCTCCCAACACCGGAGACAATGGCTCCCAGTTCAGGTGAGAGGACTCCCAGTCCAGGTGACATTAGCTTCCGTGCCAGGTGACGGGGCTCCCGGTCCAGGTGACAGGGGCACCTGGCCGATCTGACATGGGCTCCCGGTCCAGGTGACAGGGGCACCTGGCCGATCTTGCATGGGCTTCCGGTCCAGGTGTCAGGGGCTCCCGGCCGATCTGACATGGGCTCCCGGTCCAGGTGACAGGGGCTCCTGGCCGATCTGACATGGGCTCCCGGTCCAGGTGTCAGGGACTCCTGGCTGATCTGACATGGGCTCCCGGTCCAGGTGACAGGGGCTCCTGGCCGATCTGACATGGGCTCCCGGTCCAGGTGACAGGGGCTC